CCCCCGTGGGGCGCGGGAGGGGGAGTTGCAAGGCCGGCGGTGGCGGCCGGGACCGTTGGGGGTGGGGTGTGTGGCCTTATGACACATTTCCGGTGATGTCAGGGGGGGTGGCCTTATGACACACTTCCGGTGATGTCAGGGGGTGTGACATACGCTAATGAGTTATGCTAATGAGCCCCCCTAGCTCTTTTTCTACGAAATGACCCCTGGGCATGTCTACTCTAAAGTAAGCCCCACTTTGTTCAACAGGATTTACTCCCAGATAAGTGTGCCCAGAACTGAAGACACAGCAATGCACCTTGCCAACGAGGGGGGGTTCAGAAGATGCCCGATGCTCACAGCACCTCTGTCCAGTCACAAGGGAAGGAGAAGCTAAGCAGAGCCTGCTCACTCAGGTCTGGCCAGCAGCTGCGGGTGCTACTCTGCCCCTAGCTGGGGAGAGAGCAGGAAGGCCCAGGTGGATGCCAAGGGCACTCCGGCTTCCCACTGCTGGAGCCTGCCAGGGCGGAGCCGTGAGTGTTGCGAGGCGAGGCTCCAAGGACAGGCTCCTGCAGTGGGGACTCCTCTGAGCCTCCTCTGATGTTCTTGCTCTCTCCCCAGCAGGCCCCTCAGGTAAGCACGAGAGGCTCAAGTACTGTCTCGTGCCAGAGAGAGAGAGAGCACAAGAAGACAGCAAGGGAAGTCAAGGGAAGCTCAGGCTCCCCACCAAGCCCGCCTGCCGCACTGCAAAGCCCTCTCTCCGCACGCTCGGCTTCCCTCTCTCTTCAGCACGAGGCCCAGCAGCTCAGGGGAGAGCGTGAGACTGCCAAGGAGCCGGCAGAGAGCAGCCTGGCCGCAGAGAAAGGGAGGAGAACGGCCACGGCAGCCGGCTTGACCCTCTTGTAGGTGGCCACCATGATGGGCAGTAGTTCTCCCCCCTCTTCTCTGCGGCCAGGCTGCTCTCTGCCAGCTCCTTGGCAGTCTCACTCTCTTCTCCCTTGCTCTCCCCTCCCAGAAGCTGCCTGGGTGCTGGAAAAGAGGGCCCAGAGGCTGCAGAGAAAGGCAGGGGGAGTTGTTGGGAGAGGATGGACCCTTTACTCCCATCCCTGGCACAAGACCCCTCAGCTCCAGGAAGCTCACAAGTTACTCCTACTCCCGTCCCTCCAGCGGTGGCTGTTTCAAAGCGGGGACCATCTGCAAACCGAAAGCCTAACTGAGCAATGTCCTTGCCTGCTCTCCTGCGAATTGGGCGGGCACCACATTGCAGAAAAGTGCTAAGAACAGCCATGGGTGGCATGCCGAAAAGCCACGCTCAGCTCCCGCGCCACTGTGTGAGTATCAGTGCTGCAGTCCTTTTCAGTGCAGAGACAGCAGGACTTTCCCCCATGTGCTGCCACAATAAAAGGGACTAGAGTTTGTTTGGTTTGCTGGACTCAAATATTAAAATTTGTTAAATAGAGACTAGAGTTTGTTTAATTTTGTTTTTTGAGGAAAGCTGGGAATTCAGGAGTTCTAGCTGATCCGACAGATCATTATAATGCCACAGTGACATGCCAATTACATTCCCCCCCCCCAAAAAAAGAAAGAAGCCTGGAAAAGCCCCCTGGTGACATGGGGGTGGTGGGGCTGGATTGGCAGTGGAGTGGGCCTGAGGGCACTGTTGTCTGGATGCCCCATTGCCCCTGGGAATGCCTCTGCACTTGCCATAGCAATGGAAGCTCCAGGGAGAATCGCTGCCATGTGGAGGCAGCCTAGCTATAGCTTCTGAACAGCCCTCAAGAGTAGTCCCACATAGAATGCATTACAGTAATCCAACCAGGAGGCTACCTGAGCAAGCCCCACAGGGGCAAAAGTCCCTTTGGCCTTGGAAGGGATGCAGCTGAGGGATCAGAGAAAAAACTGTACCTGGGGGAGGAACCAGGGGAGGGGCACGTTGGTGCCCTTTCTACAGTAAGCAGAGCTGAATAAATTAAGCAAAGGAGCCGTAACATGCACATCTTGTTCCAAGTGAATCATGGATAGATTGCACAGTCTTGCTATCCATTTTGGCTCAGAAGCCGAGGCAGATCAGAGTCCTGAACATGGCCCTGGTTTCAGAGACCGCCCCCTAACCTGCACTGTGCGCGCTGGCAGCCGACTTCCGAGCTTTGCCTTTTGGAACAGGAGGTAACAGTTCGACTTCCTCTTGAGGCATCTGGGCCACTTTCTGCAAGAAGATCTTCTCCAGGGCTTGAGCCATGAGGACGATGTCATCGGTGGGCTGGACAGAGGGAGGGAAGGAGGTGGAGGCAAGCACTGGTCATCCAGCAGGGTCCCGAAATCCCCTCCCACCACACATACACACAGCACTACTCTCCAGCATACAGGCAGCTGCACTCCCCAAGGCAGACAATTCAAAAAGCATCCCTCCTCCTCCTCCTAATTAACATGACAACAACTTCAAAGGGGCTTGCATAGAGGACCTTGTAAGTTAGATAGCTGCTGTTCATCCTCTCTCTGACACCCCAAATCTTTTTTTTTGGGGGGGATTTTGTGTGTGTGTGTGTGTGTGTTCGCATGCACCTGGAAGTCATGGTGACCTCTGGTGACTGACCCCTACTGGGGGCCTGGAGGCTATTCAGAGAGGTGGCTGAGTAAAGCCTGCCCCTGCCTCCCCACTGCTGGTATTCCAAGGAGGTCTCCCATCCAAGTACTCGCCAGAGTCAACCTTGCTTAGCTTCTGAGATCTGACGCGATCGAGCTTGCCTGGGCTACCCAGGTCCGGGCTCCGCACCCCAATTCCTGTGCTGGACTAACCCTCTTACCTCACTGTCCTGGTAGAGTTAGCTCTGCCAGTGTGTGGACAAATGCATCCTAGCTCCGGATGCAAGGCTGCATGTAAATCAGAATGACTGCAGGCAAGCAAGCTAGGAAGCGAGTGCAAAATGGGGTACTTCCCCCCCCCAAGAGTAACAACCAGGGATGAAAGTAACACTTTGAAACATCTGAATTCCAAATGATACGTTACAGACATCTCATCTTTATGCTCAAAATATGAACAAAAGTTTCACTCCACAGCAGCAAATAAGGAGTTGGGGGCTCCCAGACAAAGGCAGCATCTGCGTGATGTTTACTATCTGAACACAGAAGTTCCAGGCATTGGTAAAGAGGAGACAGAAATTCCAGATCCAGGGATTCACATTTCAGAATTCTGCAGTGTCGATTCCATGAATTTTTTTAATCTTCTCAAATGTTTGCCATCAGTAGCTGTTTCAGGAACCCAATGTTGGCTTTACAAAGGGTTAAAAAATAAGACTTTATTCTAATGCAACTTGCACATTCTCAGTGGCCATGCTCAGATCTCCAGCAACACAATCAGCCCAAGGTCATGAATTTTTTTAATCTTCTCAAATGTTCGCCATCATTAGCTGTTTCAGGAGCCCAATTTTGGCTTTACAAAGGGTTAAAAAATAAGAATTTATTCTAATGCAACTTGCAAATTCTCAGTGGCCATGCTTAGATCTCCAGCAACACAATCAGCCCAAGGGCAAGGAAGAAACAATTATCACATAATCGACAAAATCAATTTACGTGGGGAAAATTTGGTTTAGAAAAAATACTGGCCTACTTTGCAGGGCAGCTATAAGGATGATGGCAATTATGTATGTGAAGCATCTTGAACACTTGAAAATACTACACGCAAGTAGCCGTATTGCTGCTGCTGCTGTAGGTAAATTAAAGCCTTGCCAGAGGTGCAAGCTGAAGCGCAATGGCAAAAACCAGGTGTTTGTTGGCTTATGTGTATTTTGCTTGGAGCCCCCAGTTGTGTGTGTGTGTGGGGGGGAAATATTCAAATAAAGTTGGTGCCATATTCACAGTTCTGGAGGACAAACAGCCAGATGTGCCAAAGGAAAGGGATACTTCTCTCTCTCTCTCTCTCTCTGACTGTTTGTAACACTAAATTATGAGTTATCTTGATTTCATACAGCTTTAAAATATTTCCCTTCTCCTTACAAATGAAATTGTGGGCAAACCCGTTTTAGCCATATGCTTGTTTCAACTCTGGTGAGCCCTCTGGGGTTAAGAAAGCAATTACTCTGAGGGCCGGATCCACCCCACAGGCCCCCAGCCAGAGACATGCAAGGATACAGATCAAGATGTGGGGGGAGGACTTTTGTCTCCAGAAGCTGAAGTGTGCCCCCCCCCAGTCCCAGTCCCATCCCCAGACCCTTTACCTTGTTGTAAATGTAACAATTTGTAAACATGGTGTTGAAATCTTGCATACATTCACTGGCACTCCAGTAGTAATTGTGTTCCAGCCGCTTCTTGATCGTGCCCATGTCCATTGGGTTTTTGATTATTTTGTGATAATCCTGTCAAGAGGCGGGGGGAGAGCCATTTTTTACTAGAATCTAGCCATTTTATCATGAATAGAGAACCTGCCATGGTTTGGCATCTTGTGGATTAACACAAGTACAAAAGAAAAGTCTCTGCATCAAGGAGCTTACAACCCAAATTTGACACACAGGAGAAAGAAAAAGCAACTGAACAAAAGTTCTCTACAGGGTGCAGAAAAAGGCACCCAAAAGGGTCAAGAGGCTGATGAACAAATGGTTAAGGCACTGAATGAGAAATGGCTTAGGAGTTCGGGACATCTTAGGTTAGGGGAGAAATAAATAAGCGAGTAAATGTGATCAAAGTGCATAATATTCTGGGTAGACACCATTTATCTGTTTCCCATTCCCATATTGTATATTTTAAATTTTTATACCCTGTACTCTCAGGGAGAAATCAGACATGTATCTGGGAGTTCACTGTCCAGAGCTCCGAGTGATTATTTAAAATTGTAGCCTGAACCTCAAACTCCCACATAGGTTCAGGTTAGCCCTCAACCACATATTGTTCTCAAGGAAAATGACATAAAAAAAAAATTACAAAGAATCAGAAAAACCAGTCAAACAAATTAATCAACTTTTTAAAACTTGCAAAAACACTGTGAAACTTAAGACCAGCACAGTCCTAAAACTAGGAAAGTAACATCTTAAAATTAAGACACAAACACTGGAACTATCTAAAGGTAGCACGGCATGTGATAAAACCAGGGAGCAGTATGGCACCAGTCTTCCAAAACGAAGTGACCTCCAGCTACCAAGGCAGAGTTAAAACATCTGGCATAAGTAGGAGGCAGAGCAACTAGGAAGAGTCAACAAAATGCCTGGGGAGACGGAGACATTTTAACTCGGTCTGGGAAAAGGAGAAGATCCGGTGCCAAATGGATGGCTATGGGGGAGGCACTGCACTGGAGGAGGCCACACCTCTTGCACCCCTTCAAGGTGGCTGGCATGACCCCTTCCTTTAACGAAGCATTGAAACATTCAGAGTCTCCAGGCCACGCACTAGACACCCTGTTATAATTTGGAGGGGATTTCTCTGTTTTTGGCCCAAAGGCTGATAGGAATTAACCATTATGGGAATTGGGGGGCAGGGGGGGCCTGTCACGGAACGCATGGGGCCAAGCAGGGCTGCCAGATGGTTGCAGGTATCTCTCCCTCCCCTGCCTGTCCTCCTGCCCCCTTCAGGCCTGGAGGGCCTTCAATGTAGGGTTGCCAAGTCCATCTTCCACCCCCAGCGGGGGACTTTGGGGGCATTCC